CGCTTCTTTTCTCTAGCAAGTTTGTTTATTTACTGTCATATACCATCTCACTGGCTTCCCGATCCCTATCACCTTATAGAAAAATCTCAGTGTTCAATGTAATGAAGCGAAATTTTCTGGGTGAGCCTCGGAGGTTCCCTGAAGCTATCCGAACTACTATGTGCTATATTAGTTTGGGTCATCAGTCACAGGAGTAATTATGCCTACCAGGAACCACGAACCAGAACCTGGTCTCCTCAGAGAGGCGCAGGGAGCAATGGCTTATGAGCACTTTACATTTAAAGTATGTAATGGCCATCGACCTGGGAGGGCACCTAGAAAGATAGGCGAAACAAAACAGACCACAATCTGGTGAAAATTGCGACCTACGTCCAAACATAGCAAAAGAACTCCCCCACAAAGAAAACAAACAAGCAACACTTCATCTAACTAGCACTCCCTCTCGTTAGTGCTAACCTTCCCCCAAATGGGAGGGAGGGGGGAGCTGGTTCAGGTGACCACTCTAGTTCTTGAACGATGAAGACAATTGACCGGAGGGAGGGAGAGTGTCAGGAAGCCTCCAGGGCTCACCCAGAAAATGGTGTTTCATTAAATTCAACCCTGGTTTTCTGTGGGAAACTTCGTCGGCTCCCTGAAGTTAACTACTCTGCAGATAAGTAAAAAATAGGGACTTTCCCGGGAGGTGGCAGCACTGCTGGTCTCAAGTCGAAGAGGCTGATGGCCTTGACAGTCTCCCCAATGCAACACAAGGCTAGATAGGGCCCAGGACGTTCATGAGATACCTGAAGGCCAAGACCCTGTTCGACCTCCAAAACCCCATGCCCAAATATCCACCAAATACATATTACCAATCATGCTCTTGTAATTATAGCCCGCAACATGCCTAGGTGCAAGAAATAAACAAAAATAAAAAATATTTTCCTCCTATAAAAGTGTTCATTTGCATTCTCTCACCACGGGAAAAAAATTGTAGGTGGCATATTATTGGCCACAATAGGGCGAGGAAGTCTGGTAAAATGTAGATGTTGACAGAGCAAGCATCTGAGGTGGTCAGGTATGCCCGAGCTGACAGGTGGGAATTGCCACAAAGATACTATTACCTAATTATTTCAGTGTTTCTGATTGATTTTTTCCTTGTTTTTTTTTGCAGTAATATTATTCAATAGTGTGTAATGTGATATATTTATATAATAAAATGTGTGAATCGTCGCTAAACTCAAAATTATGGTGTGCATATTAGTGATTAAATTTTTATGTTCATAAACAATAAACAAATAGTTTTGCTGTTATTACACTATATACACAGGTTATATATATATATATATATATATATATATATATATATATATATATATGTCGTACCTAGTAGCCAGAACGCACTTCTCAGCCTACTATTCAAGGCCCGATTTGCCTAATAAGCCAAGTTTTCATGAATTAATGTTTTTTCGTCTACCTAACCTACCTAACCTAACCTAACCTAGCTTTTTTGGCTACCTAACCTAACCTTACCTATAAATATAGGTTAGGTTAGGTTAGGTAGGGTTGGTTAGGTTCGGTCATATATCTACGTTAATTTTAACTCCAATAAAAAAAAATTGACCTCATACATAGAGAAAAGGGTTGCTTTATCATTTCATAAGAAAAAAATTATAGTAAATATATTAATTCAGGAAAACTTGGCTTATTAGGCAAATCGGGCCTTGAATAGTAGGCTGAGAAGTGAGTTCTGGCTACTAGGTACGACATATATATATATATATATATATATATATATATATATATATAAAATATATATATATATATATATATATATATATATATATATATATATATATATATATATATATATATATATATATATATATCTGCATGTTTTGTTCACTATAACAAACCACTAAGTTGGTATGGTTAGTCAAAACAATGAGGAGTGGCAGCCACACACCAGCCAGCCAATGCCACCTTCTTCCCTCCTTCAACAACAGCTCACTCGCCAACATTCCTCCTCCCACCATACTGTTTTTGCTTTTATTCACTGTATACAGACATTATATATAATTATCTACATTTTTTTGTTCACCTGTACAACTAAGGTGGTATGGTGAGTTCAGACAACAGAAGTCGCCACACAGAATCAGCTAACGCTTCCCTCCCTCCTTTACTTGTTAAAGGCCAGATGCACTAAAATTCCGCCTCCAATCATACTGTTTGTGGTGTTTTTACACTATATGCACCCATTATATATAAGTATCTACATGTTTTATTCACCATAATGTTACAACTAAGCTTGTATGGTGTCTAAACAACATAGTGGCCACAACAAAATTGCATGACACAAGACACAGCAGCCAACAGACGACGCCACCTCCGTCACGAAACTGCCTCCTCCCAACATACTCCTTTTGCTGTTATTTCACTATATACACACGCTACATATAAGGTTCTACATTTGTGTTCACCATAGCGAAACACTATACTGGTATGGTGAGTGCAGACAATAACAGGTGGCCACACAGAGTTAGACGATGTTTCCTCCCTCAGCATTACTTCTCCCACAATACTGTACTATGCACAGCGCTAATTATCACTACAATCTGCTATTATCAGAATCCTGGTCATTTTTATCACAGTCAGGGGGTCTTCTGTAATACTATCTTGGCTAAATAATACCAGTTACATATATTTTTGACATTTTTAGGCGATGCTGTGGTCACAGGCATAACAGCAATACTGTTAGCTCATGCTGCGTGCACTCGCCTTGGTTGATCACTCAGTACTGAAGCTCTCACACCTGGGAATGTTGCCCATGATTTAAAAAAAATGGCTCTGATTACAAGAGATCTGAGGAAGCTGATATGAACCCCCTTGTAGCCACAGGACTTTTAAATCTTTCGGGGTACTCCAACACATCAATAGCTGTGGTGCGCAATTCTGCGACAGTTACTCACCACCTACCTTGAAGTTATCTTGAGGTGATTCCAGGGCTTAGCGACTTCGCGGCCCGGTCATCGACCAGACTTCCTCGTTGCTGCACTGGTCAACCAGGCTGTTGGATGCGGCTGCTCGCAGCCTGACATGTGAGTCACAGCCTGGTTGATCAGGTATCCTTTGGAGGTGTTTATCAAGTTCTCTCTTGAACACTGTGAGGGGTCAGTCATTTATGCCCCTTATGTGAAGTGGAAGCATGTTGAACAGTCTCGGGCTTCTAATGTTGATATAGTTCTCTCTCAGAGTACCTGTTACACTTCTGCTTTTCAATGGGGGTATTCTGCACATCCTGCCATGTCTTCTGGTCTCATGTGAAGTTATTTCTGTGTGCAGGTTTGGGACCAGCCCCTCTACTACTTTCCACATATAAATTATTATGTATCTCTCCCACCTGCGCTCAAGAGAATACAGATGTAGACTCTTTAGTCGGTCCCAATAGTTTAGATGCTTTACTGAGTGGATTCTAGCAGTAAAGGATCTCTACACGCTCTCCAGGTCAACAATTTCTCCAGCTTTGAAAGGGGCTGTCATTGTGCAGCAGTATTCCACTCTAGAGAGCACTAGCGTCTTGAAAAGTATCATCATCGATATAGCATCTCTAGTATGAAAAGTTCTTGTTATCCAACCTGTCATTTTTCTTGCAGTTGTGATGGCTACTTTATTGTGTTCTTTAAATGTAAGGTCTTCCGACATGAGTACACCCAAATCCTTTGCATTGCCTTTTCGTTCTGAGTTATGATTTGACTGCGTTTTGTACGTAATTTCCGTTTATATATTTTCATTTTTTCCGTAGCACATGAGCTGGAACTTATCTTCGTTAAACACCATATTATTTTCTGTAGCCCATAGAAAGACCTGATTTACATCTGATTGGAGGTTTGCCGTGTCCTCAATGTTGTCTACTCATAAAAATCCTAGTGTCATCTGCAAAGGATGATACAGTACTATAGGTTGTGTCCTTGTCTATGTCCGATATGAGGGTGAGAAAAAGTACTGGAGCAAGCACAGTACCCTGAGGGACTGAGCTCTTCAAGGTTGATGGACCGGATTTGATTTTGTTGACTATTACACAATTTGTTCTATTAGTCAGGAAATTGTAGATCTATCTGCCTATTTTTTAAGTAATACCTTTTGTATGCATTTTATGTGCAATAACACCATGGTCACAATTGTCGAAGGCTTTTGCGAAATCTGTGTAAATTACATCAGCGTTTTGTTTGTCTTCCATGGTATCTAGTGCCATGTCATAGTGGTCCAGCAACTGTGATAGGCAAGAGCGCCCTGTTCTGACACCATGTTGTCCAGGGTTATGGAGATGCTGTGATTCCATGTATTTTGTGATCTTACTTCTTAGCACTCTCTCAAAGATTTTTATGATGTGTGATGTTAGTGCTATCGGTCTGTAATTTTTTGCCTCTGCCTTATTTCCTCCTTTATGGAGTGGTGCTATCTCCACTGTTTTTAGTATGTCAGGGATAATGCCAATATCTAGGCTTTGTCTCAAAATAATGTGTAGGGCCTGCGAGTGTTTTTTTACAGTTCTTGATGAATATAGAGTATTAGTATCATATCCATGAAAAATTCATTTGGGTATTTTTATACCACAGCTATTGACGTGTTGCACAGTTTAAGGGTTAAAGTAGAGATGTATAAAAAGTTTTTTAAATTTATAATAATATTGATATAATATTTGAAACATTGGACAGCTTGTCCAATGTATTGTTAGTTTATGTTAATAGTGTGTCACTGAGTCACCATTCCATTATTCAAAAAATTTGTATTGTGACTGAAAATAATAATTAAACTGATTTACTGTTCTTGAATACTATGTATATTTTAATAATATTGGTTCAGTTAACTAATAAATTATAATTCATCACATATAATGAAGTGATAAGGAAATTTTTAGGTAAATAATTGCCGCAAGGTCATGATGCACTATAATAAAATTTAATATATGGCATGACATTTTATTATTACTTTGCCTGATTGGCATAGTATTTTTCCTTCCACAGAATTAATCGGAGAGCGAGGCGGGCGTGTCGCAAGGCGGTTAAATCTCAAGCTTTTTACTGGCTCATCATTGTCCTTGTCTTCCTAAACACCGCAGTCTTAGCGAGTGAGCACTACCGTCAACCTGACTGGCTCAGTCAGTTCCAGGGTCAGTTTACATTGCTCACATTTGAGTAAAATTAATTATGTCTTTTATAAATAGAGGAAAGTGTTGCATGTGGATTTGGTTTGCGGTGACTTTCTTTTACAGACCAGCTACAGTAAAATAAATTGTAACATTGCTCAGCCGTACAGAGTCAGAATAACAGTTAGAACAGTCAGAGTCTGCTATTATTTCAAAGCTAGCTTTATAAATGTTTTAGAAAGATTTGTAGATTAATTTAATTAAATGTTAGGAAGAACAATTGAAATTAATGACCAAATGGTTTCACATAATGGATGTGGAAGGAAAAATTTACTTGAAAGTGCTTTGCTCTAAGAATAACAACACATAATTAGAATATAGTGCTATACAAGTCTAATGGATTCTGCTTTGTAAGTACAGTAGCCTAGGCCTACTTTATCTGGCCATGTATGAAAAGCATGGTTAAAAATCAGATGACAGTATAAAGCTCAATTTAAAATTGTAATACTACATTTTTAACTAAGTGTATGAAATTATCGTAATTATAAACTGATCACGCGTTAAACTATCGTATTGGGCAGACTCTATTGGAGTTGTGCAGAGATCATAGTTACAGGAATTACATTTTTTTATTCTCCCAATAAAAGTCGGCAAATTATGCAACAAAGATATAAAGTTAAACATAAAATATTATTTTTTAAATCAAAGTAATCTCAATAAATATAAAAAACATAGACAACATTATATCACTAGGGTGGTGAAAGGGAGAGTGGTGGCATAAGTTAATTTAAGAGGAAGGGTACTCGCCTAATTCTTTCCTACCATTCAGATTTAACCCCTGCCCTGGGCAAATTTTATAATGACATTCTCGTGGTGTGCCGAAAATAAATTGTTCCAAGAGCAGTATTTGTTCTTTTGATATTGTTAATTATCACCCAGGTAGCATGAAAATCCAAGTATAAAGTCTCTATCTCTTGTAGTTTAGCCATAGTTGCCTGGAGAAGTTACATTTGTATTGTAAAAATTAGGAGAGTTGCCACATGGGAATAACTTTGTTGATTTATTTTCAATGTTGCTCACTTTATTTATTTAGTTTTCTGTGGGGAGCCCCTTCGGCTACCTGGAGCTTATCGAACTAATGCATGTTATATTAGACCAGGACATTAGCTAAGGTCAGACCTCCCAGGGACCAGCACCAGAACCTGGCCCCTTCAGAGAGGTTTCAGGGAACAATGGCCCTGGAAAACCCCTTTGTGGTTGGGGTTTTCCTTATCTGCCATCGACCGGGGTTAGGCACCCATAAAGGTAGTCATAACAAAACAAACCCCACATGGAAAAAAACTAAACCGATAACCGAACAGAGAGGTAGAAACTTCCTACAATCCCAAGGAAACAAGCAAACATCACACTTTACTGCCGCGCCAATCGTTCGCGTAGCCCTCCCCGCCCCGAGAGGGAAAGGGGGGAGCCAAGCATCAGTTCGTAAGCTAATGTCAACTGGGATAGA